CCTTTATCTTGGCCTCGGCGGGTGCAACTTACAGGAGACCTCTCTGGTCAGGCGTCCTGCCGGCTCGGGGCCGCTCCGCCACAGCTGGCTGAGGTGCTCAGGCCCTCGGACCCCTGACCTTTGCCCCCGGCCCTGCTGACATTTTGAAAGTGACAGCCCAGAGGCCTGCATACCTTGTGGGATTTGCTCTTTGTGGGCGCCTCCCCCCGCTTTGTTGCCAGAAGTGGCAGGTTTGGGAACACCAGCAAGGCTTTGCCAGGCTGTGTGTGGGGCTGGGGAGGGGCTGTTTTGTCTCCCCCGAGACTGGAAGCAGATCAGAAGGGATTCTGGCCTGTGTCAAGAGCGGTGGCTTTTCTTCAAGCGGGTTTTTCATCCTTTGCCTCATTAATTCTTCGCCAAGCGCGGTCTTTGCCTGTCACTCGGGCAGGGCCCAGCAGAGATCGGATAATTCCTGCTCTTCCCCCCTGCCTGGTGATGTGTGCCTGCAAACCAACAGGTGCACCCCTTGCGGACTTGGCTAGGGAAGGAAGGGCAGAGCGCGGCGTTCACGGAGGGACGCGCTGTGGGTTGCCCCTGTTTGCTTAGCTGTCAGAAGCCTGCATCTGGATGGTGGCTTGCCTGCAACCCCCCTCCAGCCAGAGGACAACATCAGGGAATCTAGTGGTGCTATTTCCACTGCCCTGGGACCCCACGCATCCGTCCCGGGAAGGGCAAAGGGACGGGCGACCAGCGAGGGCCGGGGGTGCTGCCCGACGGGAGGCTTCCTAACCAAGTGGTTTGTGGTAGGCATGGCGCCAGTGGCATTTGTTCTCGTTGCTTTGGAAGGCCCTCTGAAGTTTTTGGAAGCTGGGGTTGAGTGTGTCTGTGAGTGTAACCAAAGGGAAAACCAAGCCCAACGCTGAGCTTTTCTCTTCTCCCCCCTCCAAAGGATCGCAGTAGCAGAATTCTGCCATCTTCATTGTCTGTCCTTTACGGGCATTTTTTAAAATGTCGATTCTTTTACTGGTTTATACCAAACGCAGTGATATTCCTCTCCTGTGGGTGGCAGTGCTCTTTGGCCCCCTCTTAAGCTTCCCCCCCCCCAAACACTAAGAGGACTTTTTGCCAGCATTCTTGCATCCACCTCGGCTCGCCTCTCCTCTCCTTTGGGGCCGGGGATCAAGCTCTTCTCAGCTTCTCTGCGGGAGGACGCTTCAGGCCGGAGGGCGAAGGACACGTGTGCGTGGTGGCGGGTTTGTACATTCACGATGCAAGGCGTAAAACGGGAGGAATTTCAGTTTCAGAAATACCTCGGGTGAAAGCGGGCTTTCCAGGGAAAGAAGCGTGACTGGCAGAAGCTCTGCCTCCAAGACAGAAAAGGCAAGTCAGAAGAGGGTCCGGAATGGCAAGCGCATGGTCCACTCCACTTCTTTTGCATCCTCTTAAGATGCAGACAGAAACCTGTCTCCTCCTCGGAGCCGGACTGCTGCGGGGCCCTGTAGCAGTGAGGAGGCAGGCGTGTACTTGAATTAAAAAAGCGGCCATTAGCCAACGCATTGGTGGGGTGCAGAGAGGGGCTTACATCTCCTGGGCGCTGCA